TAGAAGAGGAGACTAGAGTCCATATAGAAATACAATTTAGAAATAGTTGAAATTCGGAATTAAAAAATAAAGAATATTAGAAGAGGAGACTAGAGTCTATATAAAAATACAATTAGGAAATAACTGAAATTCGGAATTAAAAATAAGGAATATTAAAAGTAGAGTATAGAGTCCATATAGAAATACAATTAGGAAATAATAGAAATTCAGAATTAAAAATAAGGAATATTAGAAGTAGAGCATAGAGTTCATGCAGAAATACAATTAAGAAAAAAAATAGAAATTCGGAATTAAAAAATAAGGAATATTAGAAGTAGAGTATAGAGTCCATATAGGAATTTAAAACTAACTAAAGTTCGGAATAAAAAGAGCCTCCACGTTCGCTCTTATGACCGAGAAATTCTCACATTAATCGGAGAAAAAGAAAAAAAGCAGAGTCCATACAGAAATACAATTTAGAAATAGCTGAAATTCAGAATTAAAAAATAAGGAATATTAGAAGTAGAGTATAGGGTCCATATAAGAATTTAAAACTAACTAAAATTCGGAATAAAAAGGAGCCTCCACGTTCGCTCTCATGACCTAAAATTCTCACATTAATTGGAGAAAAGAAAAAGATTTATAAATAGCTGAAATTCGGAATTAAAAAATAAAGAATATTAGAAGAGCAGACTAGAGTCCATATAGAAATACAATTAGGAAATAACTGAAATTCGGAATTAAAAATAAGGAATATTAGAAGTAGAATATAGAGTTCATATAGAAATACAATTAGGAAATAATGGAAATTCGATATTAAAAATAAGGAATATTAGAAGTAGAGTATAGAGTCCATATAGAAATACAATTAAGAAAAAAAATAGAAATTCGGAATTAAAAAATAAGAAATATTAGAAGTAGAGTATAGAGTCCATATAGGAATTTAAAACTAACTAAAATTCAGAATAAACATAATAAAATGAAAAGTAGTGTTTAGAGTCCGTATAAAAATATAATTTACAAATAACTAAAATTCGAAATTAAAAAAAACATGGGAAGAAGAGTTTAAAGTTAAGATAGGAATACAATTTAGAAGTAACTGAAATTAAAATTAAAAATTAAAGAATATTGAAAGATGAGTTTAGAGTCCACGTAGAAATACAATTAGAAATAATAAAAATTCAAAATTAAAAAAAAATATTAAAAGACAAGTCTAAAGTCCATAAAGGAATATATATGATTTACAAATAACTAAAATTTGATATTAAAAATAATTAATAACTAACACGTATATAAAATACAATATAAATATTACACATCAGTAGTTTCGTAAAGTTATTGCAAAATTTAAAATTATGTTGTCATTGTAATATATTTTAATAATATAATGACAAAACGTATATGCTATTATATGAGAGAAAATATAATGATACTATCCGCGCAATTTACGCGGGACACCTTGCTAGTTTACAATATATAAACATATAAGATGTTTAAACCGTTACAATAATAGTTCACAGCCCACACTGGTGCAATTGGGCTAATCAGAGCGATTCGGCATCAACATGTCTTATATATACGTCGGACGTCCGAAAATTTGCGAAATATCAGACGATGCTCCGCATGCCCCTCTACCCCTGCTGTTGCCGTTTTTTTGACAAATTGGTCCTTATAGAAAACTTATTTCGAAACTAGTCCATACCAAAAACTATATCTAGAGGTTGTTCATATCAGCGCCAATGGGACTGGCGCTGACATCGCGCCAGCGTGGCGGGCGAGACGCGACGTGGCAGGGCCTCAGCGCCAATGTATTTGGCGCTGACCCCTTGTACAGGCTAATTAAAAGGATGCGCGGCCATTAATAAGCAATGCACTTGTGGTGCAATGGTATGACCATTTGCTTGTGTACCCTAGCACCATGGTTCGACTCCCTATCACGGCAGCCTTGTTCGTTCTTTTTTTTTTCTTCAAATCTTCAATCTACGTGCGTACATTAGTACATATAAATGATTAATGATGCTCTCTGTTTTTTAAATATATATATATATATATATATATATATATATATCAGAATATATGTTCTACAGCGGCGCTGGCCTTTATACTGGCTAAATAAAAGCAAAAGCAAAAGCAACAATTAGGTTTGGCTTAGCTCAGTGGTAGGTATTTGAAAGGTGGCGTTACAGTGACCAGGGTTCGAACCCTCTCCTTTATGTTTTTACTAAACTTTTTTTTTACTTAGTTCTCAACTTGCGGTTTTAACTTTTTCAAAGCTCAGGTATTTTTAAGTCCATTCTTTTATTTTTAAATATGTACTAAATGTGTTATTCCTTTTAAATATTTTTTAAAAAAGTGATATTTCTTTTACAAGCTCAAGTGTTGTTTTAATTTTAAAAAAACACGTGACATTTTAGAATAAAACTTACCCTTAGTTCTCAACTTGTTGTTTATTTTTTAAAAAAAAACTCAAGTTTTTTTAAATCCATTCTTCTAATTTCTTTTTTATAAAAAAGTGATATTTCTTTTAAAAGTTGTCTCTAAACTTTTTTTAATCCATTCTTCTACTTTTTAAATTTGTACTAAATGTGATATTTCTTTTTAATAAAAATTAATTTAAACAAAAAAAAGTACATTGAAGATTTGAAGACAAAAACGAAAATGGAGATCATCATTAATATATACGCACGTAGATTGATGATTTTAAAAAAAAACAAAAATGGCTGACCTGGGATTCGAACCCTAGTCCTCAGATATAGCAAGAAAGAAACTTACCGTTGCACCACGAGCGACACCGTTAATTCATTGCCGCACATCGGTCTATTTAGGGTGTGCAAGGTGTCAGCGCCAAGTGCATTGGCGCTGAGGCCCTGCCACATCGCGCCTCGCCCGCCACGCTGGCGCGATGTCAGCGCCAGTCCCGTTGGCGCAGATAAGAACAACCTCAGCACCAACCGCTTTGGCGCTGATCCGACGGCCTATTTCTGGATATAGTTTTTGGTAGGGACTAGTTTCGAAATAAGTTTTCTGCAAGGACCAATTTGTCAAAAAAACGCCCTGCTGTTGTGTTGCATGCGCTGCTAGCTGGCAAGTAGCCACTGCCACATAGCAACTAGCATGCCTCTTGCTCACATGCAGTGTTGTTTGACCATCATTGCTATTTTTTTTTCTCTCCCCATTTTCTTATATATACGTACTTATTCATTACATATCTTTACACAATATTTTCTTTTAAAAATACATATATGATGCACGATCAAATTAGAATATTATATTTGTCTTAATTAAATCGTTAGAATAATATATCACATTGATGAAATTATATATATAGTCAACCATTGTTTCACTATTTATATAAAATTGTTTCATCGCATGAAAAAAAATGTTTCAACTCACTTAATAAATATTTTATAGAGATGCAACATTTAAAAGAATTGTTTCATTATTTATATAAAATTGTTTCATCGCATGCAAAAAAAAATGTTTCAACTCATTTAATAAATATTTTATAGAATGCAACATTTAAAAGATATTGTCTGCAACCATGATAACAATTAGACGAAACATTAAGTTCTATGTTATAGCATGCATCAATCATCAAGTTGTAGTTGTTGAAAAATAAAAAATATTGCTGAAACATTCAAAACGCCAACATGTGCAACATTTACAAATTACATAGTGAACACCACGAAATATTTATTGCAACATCTAATTAACACTACGTGCAACATTTAAGACTGCAACAAACTAAAAACCCATCAAAATATTATCAAGTGAGATCTTATTATAAAGATATAATCGTAATAAATCCAACCGTGTAATTAGATTATAGATCGGATGAATAGTTGAATAGACAAAATCATTTGAATTTTGGGATTTAAATGAGTGGCCGACTGCTTCTTCAGACTGTATGGTCATGGTCCATGACGTCATGCCGCACAACTAACGCTGATGATGTGGTTAAACTTTCATCAGACGGCTAATTATAAGCATTTCTGGAATCAGCATCTTGCAAGTTTGTCCGATGTTTTGGTTCCGCCCGGACGACCGATCCTCTTCTGCTCTGCCCTGGCTTGACTTTCGTTAGATCTTCTTCTACACAAACATTTATACGGAACTAGAAATAGTTTACCGGGATTGCTATATGGCATTCGAATGAAATTTAGGGATGAAATCTTACAGATTTTAGACCATTGGATCTATGCCAAGATTCGTGCATCGGCTTCTCTCCTCCAACTCCGGCGGGCTCCTCTTCTTCTCCGGCGCCGGCGACACCCCAACTCCGGCGGGTTAGGGTTTGAGGTTGGGGTGAGGGTAGGAGGAGGGTTGGGGGAGGGGGAAGAGGGGGGTTTCCTCGGAGCTTAGAGGGATGACCGTGGGCAGCGGAGGACCGACGGTGGGCGGTGGACTCCAGCGGGCAGCGAGGCGGCGGCGGCGCCGAAGCCGTGGGGATGGAGGAGGGCGGTGGGCCGGCGTCGGCGGCGAGGGCAAATCAAGGGTGGGATTAGGAGGCGGCGGCCGGTGGTGGCGGATCCGGCGGCGGGGAGCTGCCGGAGACGGGGAAGACGGCGGGGCGGGGGCACCTCGTCGTTGCGCCATGAGGAGAAAGTGAGGGGGGAAGGGGAGGGGGAAGGGGGAGGGGGAGGGGCTCGCCGGGGGGGCCTCACCGGCGCCGTTGACCTTTTCCGGCCAGCCAGCGAGGCGGGCGGCGGCGCGGTGGGGCGGTGGCGGTGGTGGCGGCAGCGGATCGCGCGTGGGACGGGAGGAGGGTGGCGGCATGATCTAGAAACCGGGGGGAGGAGGAGGAGTTAGGGTTAAGGGGCTGCACGAATCTTAAAGCACATCCAATGGTCCAAAATTCGAATGATAGGAGGTGGGATTTTCTGTCACATGATATATAGACAGCCCCTAAAAAAAATAAATAATTTACCTTCTTGTCCGAGTCCTATGCTGTTGCATTTGACTCCCAAGTTTGATGCTCATAGAAGATGTTCTATATATAAGAAATATTGCTCCAAACAAAATTATTAACAAGGGATTATATACCAATTGTAACACTCGAGAAAAGAAACGAATGGTCACCAGTTGATACAAGATTTTTCTCTTCATACAGGAGTACTACACAGAATCACAATAATATTCAATTCGGTCAGTTACTAACACCAATCATTTGTTACAATCTCTCACCAGGAAGTGAAACAAAGTTATTCTGTCTATGCTTTGAATTGTTCGTGTGATCCATCACATTGCTGCACAGTCAACAAATTCAAACTTCTCCAGAAAGTTAAGCGAGCAGAAGTAAAATCTCGAGCCTTTTGAGATCTGTACAGAAGAACAGTATAAGATTCAAGCTAGAAGACGGCTTCCACTGGGTTCTTGGCATCGCCCTCGCACCGTAGGAGCTGGAAACGCATCTGACAGAGTCCTGATTATTCTCTCCACCTGGAGCATTTTCTGCATCGGCAATCTATCTGATGATAGCTGACGCAACCGCTCGATGAAATCCTCCATGTTCTTCACCGCATTCATCTTACCCACATCCCTTTCAACAATCTCGTAGATCAAGGAAATTGCTGAGAGGATGCCCTTACGTGTCACCGGCCCACTTGCATCTTCAGCCATGACGATATTCACCAATTGCAAAGCCTGATCACAGATTTTTCTGAAAACACGTGGGGATTTTGGCAGACGGTCAAGAAGAAGCAGGATCCCATCAGTGAACATGTGGCATTCCAGCAGCATCTGAGGCACCTCATGAAATCTGGCTGGTTGCTCGCCTTCACCATCTGCGTAGAGTGCAAGGATCGCAGTGGCAGCCTCCGTTATCACTTCAGTATCCTTTATCTTGAGCATACCTCGAAGCATTTTCATTCCACCAGCATCCAGCATTCTTTTCCTGAACATGTCAAACTCTGACAGGACAGCAACTATAGAAGCTACCTTCGCCAAGGATGATGTTCGCTTACCACGATTGCCAGCCTTCTTAACAATTTTTTTTATAGCACCTGCTAATTCATTCTGTCCAGCTAGGATCTCCCTGTTTTGCCTGTGCATGGTCAGATTGAGGATTATTGTGAGCCTCTCTTCCTCAAGATCTTGTGTCCAACTCGATTTATATTTCCTCCTAAGATTTATCAGCACTGGGATAATGTCCGCATACTTGGCAAGGCAAGGTTGCACCCCTTTGGTGGTTTTAGTGAGTAGCTGGATCAGTTTCAAAGCCTCTCGTTGCGATGCAGAATTCCCTGAGAATAGTTTTAGGATGCGTTGAATTTGTTCCTCCTCTGAAGGTTCCAAGGGAGTGGAAGGTGTATCAGAAGTGGTAGATGGGGAAAGGTCCGAGTGATCGAGGCACCATGCAGAAATCATGTCACGGAGAAGGTGGTTTGGAACAGAGAGAGAGTAGGGCAAGGAGTGATCAGTAAATGTGCTGGTATTTGTCCATGGATTCTGCCGTTTTTGGTTGTTTTGGTATGTTTGATCAACAGACTGCAACCAAACAAGCAAAATATGGTTACTGGGATAATCCAAATCATGGTGGATTTGCAGAACATAACCACCATAGCTAACTTCAGAAAAACAGCACACAGTAACTTATTGTGGCAAAAAAAAAAAGTTTTACTAATCAATATATCAAGCAATAGAATGCTAAATCGCCAAAATGTTCATAAGTTATGGTACAGGATATTATAGAAAAAGGGGCAAAAGACTATGCATGAATGGAAATGAAAGAAACTAGGGTAAAATTATTATTTTGTCCCGTGTTCTATCCTTCAGGATCACTATACATTCTAGTCATTATATCATAAGATGAACTTATGAACCATCATAACGTGCATGAATAAAGTATCAAACCTAAGCAGCATTTGACAATTCAAACTACTACAGAAAGCAGGAAGCGGGTGTTAATTTTAACAGAACCAAGAGAAGGTTAGCATTTGATTTGAAAGATTAAAAAATAGGAATCTAAGATTTAAGATGATGCAAACTCAAGAGTAAATCTAATCCAAGAGGATTTGCATTTTAGTGTTCGGCAAGTGAAGCCTAAAAACTAGAAGTGCATTGTAAATAACAATATTTAAACAAGGACACTAATTACTACCATCCAGTGTAACAAGTGTATAAGTACAACGAATCAATGTTTTGTCAATTGGTGATAGATAATTTGCCTGGTTTCTGACAATCTTAGCTTTTTGGCAGAACATTAGCTACAACAAACAAAACTGAAAACACCCAGCAGATAATTATACAGAATTCCAACTGGATAAAAACCTCCATTATCTAAAACAAAATTGGATAAAATCCTAGCAAAGGGGCAATCTTGTCACTTACATATCCAGAAGGCAAGATAACAGGATCACGCATTACTTCCGCTTGAAGCGTACCATCCTGTGAACACACATAATTGTAGGATTAGTGTAGGTGGGTAAGAAATGGATCAAACTTTTGATTCGATGCAACTATCATACGTATGAAGAAGCAGAGATGGGTCAATCGATTTGACTGAATGCAACTGTCAGGCAAGATGCCATGGGACTTGCACAAATGATCGAATTCGAGCGCGTGTAAGGAAATTCAACCAGATGCTAATTAATAATGCCCAACTAAAGGAAAGGGAATTCTTCATTGATCATAAATAGCACAAGATGTTTCCCATTGGTGATCACTGATCACGATGCAGGGAAAGAATCAAACAGCAGGCAGTTCTTGCACAACAACAAACAAAATAGATGCAGAAAGAAATGCAATTGATCTCCTTAGGAAATTCCTCGTCCTAAAACAAACAGGAACAAAGAAATTCCTACTACCCACCAGCAGCAAAAACAAACAAGAAACAGAACAAGGAGGCGGGTTTGCAAAGAGGCAAAGATGACAAGAACATGAACAGAGCTGGAAGCCTCGACAAGAAATGCCAAGAATTCAGAGTCAAGAGACCAAGGAGCAGGCACTTACATGAGCAATAGGAATAGGCCATCTTGTGGCGAACTCGTAAGGCAGCTCTGGAGGCTTCGCTTTGCGGTAGGTGAGGTCCATGAGGCCGGTCATCGCCTGCTCCATCACCGCGGACGCCGCCTCCTCGTCGTCGGCAGCAGCATCGTCGTCTTGGAACTTGGCCAATGCCATCCGCATCATCGCGGCGTAGTCAGACCTCGTGGGGCCATCATCGGCGCCCGCAGCTCTTGCTGGGTCCTCGTTCTTGGGCGCAGACCCAGCCGTGGCTTCATCAGCGCCGGCATTTCTTGCTGGGCCATCGTCCTCGGGCGCCGCCGAGCCCGACGTGCCGGCAACATCAGCCGCCCACGCCGGCGGGAACTGGAGCGGGGGCGGGCTCGATGGTGTCCTCAGGGGCGAGGTTGGGGCGGACCGCCACCCTGGCGGCAATGGCAGCGGATACAAGCCGGCGTGGTCCAAGCCGAGGCTGCTGGAGCGTTGCAACCCAGACATGTCCGCCTTGGCCTTCTTTGCCAACTCCATCTCGAGGCGAAGCTGCGCTTCCTCCGCCTCCGGATCCATGGCCGGCGGTGTCCTCCTTCCCGAGGAAGAATCGCTGCTTCCCGGCGGCGGTGGGTGGGTGGCCGTGGCCTCGAGCCGGCGGTCGAGGAGTTCTTGGTTTCTTGCGTTGCGGGGTGGAGTGGAGCGGGTCGGTTTCTTGGAGGGAAAAATGTGAAGAGGTGTTTGGATACAAAGAAGCCTGGGGCCTTTCTATTTATAAGCCTTGAGTTGAGGACTTGATGACCAGGAGATTTCTGGTTTTGCTGCCCCTGTGCAGATGTAGGACGTGAAGCTTCTGACGAGATTTCTGGTTTGCCTTGAGTGAAACATGTAACTCTGCATCATGGTGTCACTTGATCATCAACTGATGAACACTGATCTGAGGTCTTGACAGGAAGACGCATAGAATGGATCGATGGTTCTTGCTATCTGGGAAATTGATCTTGCTGCCATCAGATATTGCTACTAGAACAACCACTCTGATCAAGATCAATTCGTATGTCAGCAAGTATGAGCCGTGTAGCTGAGCCTGAGCGCAACCCCGCATAGGCGACATCGATCACACATCTAGATCTCTTCAATCTCCACTGCCCGGTTGTCATCGTGTCAAGACATCTGCCCCAGTGACACATGAAAGCAGAAGGTGCCCAATTGGGAGCCATCATGTCCATGGCAACAGTGCTCTGCCTCCGCCACGCCATCGCGGCAACCCGGTCAAACCGAGCATCCTGGCCCAGATCCCACTGTACGTTCACGGCGGTTGACCCTGCCGCGCGCTCATCCCCGAAGGCCGCAGCTGGAACAGCGCCTTCCCCTCGTGCGGCATTTCGTCGAGCACCTGAGCTGCATGCCTTGCCCGCAAGCCCCCTCTCTTCGCGGTCAGCACCGAGGCACCGAGCGCCCGCACCAGCCTCACTCGCCAAGCGCCACCGCCGGAGACAACGCCTCCCACCACCTCGCCGGCTGCCTCCTCCGTTTGCATCCTCCTCGCGCCCACGCGACGGAGACCGTGGCGAAAGCGCAGACACGAGTGGTGGTAGCATTCCTGTGGAGTGTGGAGTGGTGGGAGCCCGGCCGCCGATCTAGATTCTAGAGACATCTAGCCCTCTAGGCCATATAAGCCCAATAAATCTGGCCGGAATTTCCCGCTAACTGCACTTAGAGAATGTTAAATAAAGGAATAAGTTCACCTGCCATCCCTCTTTGACATCCCTTATCCTCTGTACCAAAAATCTTCACCCATAAACTATATAAAACTGTGCAGTTTAGTCCCATAAACGTGGCAGCATAGAGCGAAACAAAAAGTATGTAGGGCCCATGTGTAAGTGAGAGAATAATGTGGGCCCCACATCTCTTTTTTCTTTTCTTTATTCTCCTCTCTCCTTACTTCTCTTCTCGGGCGCTCGGCCTCTCGTCCTCCTCGCTAGCAGTAGATGGGGGGGAGGTGGCCGCCAAGCCCGCCCGAGCTCCGCCACCTCGAGAGGCTCCGCCGCCGCCACCCCCAACGACGACGACCTCTCCTCCTCCTCACCGCCGCATGGATCCCGCCGCGGCCTAGGGAAGGCGTCGTGCCAGCGCGGGCGGGTCCCCTATCGGCCGCTCCTACTCCTCAGCCGCCGCCGCATGGATCCCGTCACTGGCCTAGGAAGGCGTCGTGCCAGTGCAGATGGATCCCCTCTCGGCCTCTCCTCGTCCTCGCCGCCGCCGTATGGATCCCACCGCTCACCTAGGGAGGCATCATGCCAGTGATCTTGCCACACCTCACCCACCTACCACCCCCACCTCCCCATCAAACACTAACAATATCCATATCCACCCATTCACGCGAGCGACTAATCAATTCGGTGAGAGTCAACGGCGGCGGAGGAGGAGGTGGAGGAAGAGGAGGAGAGTAGATCTGGCGGGCGGCAGCGATGATGAAGTTGTTGTTGCCGCAAAGCCAGCTGTGGCAATCGGCGGCAACTTTGGCAGTGCAGTCTTCGGGAAGAGGCATGGCGTCCGGCGGCGTCAATGGGGCTGGCTCCAACAGTGGCGCATGGATGATGGTCAACAACAAAACATCGTTGGTGGCGAGATGATACCAGTCGCTGGCGGTGAGAAAGGCGGGGTGCTTGGTCAGGCGGTGGAGCACACGCACATGTCGTCGTCGTCGGGTGCAGCGGCGGCGAACATGGGCGCCGCCCTGGCGCGTGTGCGTCGTCATCGTCATCGTTAGGTGCGGTAGCGGCAGTGGTGACGACAAAGCCTCTTGAGATGGCGGAGCTCGCCCAGGCTTGCCGGTCACCTCTTCCCCATCTGCCGCCGGCAAGGAGGATGAGAGGTCGAGCCCCCAAGAAGAGAAGGAGAGAAGAGAATAAAGAAAAGAAAGAAGAGATGTGGGGCCCACATTATTTTGTCTCACTTACACATGGGCCCCACATACCTTTTGTTTTCTCTATGATGCCACGTCGGCAAAACCAGGCATCTATGCTGCTATGGGACCTAAATTGCACAGTTTTGTATAATTTATGGGGTGAAGATTTATGATATTATGGATAAGGGATGTCAAACAAACTCGGTGTAAAGTTGAGGAATGACAGGTGAACTTATTCCTTCAATAAACGTGCAACCAACGACATCTAAGAGATAGCTAAACTACCATACATACAACAACAGACTATTAACTTGCTTTCACCAATTCAAGGTTTCAATGTTTTAAACTTTTAATCGTAACAGTCCCTTGTTCCAAGGAGTTGGGCATTGCTGCATGTTCTATTTTTCTATTGTGCGCCGTGACATGTAGAGAGCCCACGTATGTGCAGATTTGCATAAGCGCGTCTAATTAGTCACGGGCTTTTCTCTATACAGTTTACTCCCTCCGTCAAAAAAAAAGTCAACCTACCTAGTATAATGAATCTGGACATCCCTTTGTTTATATTCGCATCCCTTCCTAGGTTGGCTTTTTTGGAACGGAGGGAGTATTTCTCTGCTAATATGCTAAAATCCTACTATATAATAATTAGATTAGATTATTAATTCGCTATTGTACTCGCTCTTACATTACTGCAACAAAAACTTGCCAAGCTGGCAAACGAGAAAAAAGTTTTGAGTGCACAACAGAGGCGACAACGGCAAAACAGTATCGATGCATGGAGATAGAGCCGACTTAGATGATACTAAACAAACTTGTAATAACATAAACATATCCTATTCACATAAGCTTTTAATATATGTTTTGCATATCAATTAGCAAATATAACCGAAAATTTTAGAAAAAAAAATTATACATAAATTTCTAATTACACTTGTATGTAAATTTTATCTTCAAATTCATTATATTTTAACTGTAAGAAAAAAAAGATAATTCTGATAAATTTTAACTGTAAGTTTCGACTCATCAACTCTCCAACTGCCCAAAAAATAAGTCCGCCATTTTTACATGCATCATCAATCCATCTAAACATACACCTTACAGTTTTCAGTTTGCGACACAACATACAACCTGTGAAAGTCCTGCTGATAGGGGCAGGCAGGCACTAGGCAGCGAGGGATGCTGCGGTTTGGTATATGGGCCATGGCAAAGCCAACGTTGGGAAAATTCTTTTCCTCAATGGCAAGGTGTACAACATATTATACCTTTCTAGGTGAAAGAATCCAAAAATAAATCAATATAAATGGCTCCAGAATGCCTCATCAAATGTTGCATTTGTCGTACCCATAAAACCATGAGCTGGGATCACTGCTTTTGGAGACCTCGACCGACTGGAAGGGCTTGAACTCCTCTCGCCATTGCTCATCGCCGAAGCTCCCACCTGTGTCGTATCTAGCGGGGCCGGTCTCACTAGGCTCAGGTGACTGTACAACATTGCTGGGCAGTTTGGATTCAGCGAGCCGCTGGTTTAGCACAAGAACTTCTTGGTCATGATCCCTTTTCAAGTTGTCGATTTCTGCAAAGGCCTTGTTCATCTCCTGCTCTGCTAACTCAGCCCGCTTCTGCAGCAAAGGAAAATATTGTTCTTAGTTTTGATGAAATAGTGACATCAACTCAATTATCATTGTTCTAATTTTTCAGGTTACTTAAATTTTAGTTGATACTGCACAGGTTTAAGATAAGTAACGAGAACCAGATAAAAAAACAATGCAAATCATGAAAGGCAAAATAATTGGTAGTACATTATTTCCGAATGGGAAATTAAGATGCATCAATGGATATTAGCCTGAGACAAGGGTGCAATTGGCTCACAAGAGTTGATTTGAACAGAATTTCATTTGGACGCAGAAGTGAAGGCATGGAACCATAAAAAAACAGAACAAGGGAAGAATTAGGTGTTCGGTTTTAACTGGGAGTATCGATGCAAACATCATCAGATTGGCTTTGTACTGGAGTCTAAAGCAGAGCATATAAAAAAGATGCTTACACTCAGGATCACTTACTCGAGGAATTTAGCATGTGATAAATAGCTTTATAAATTATAGAATCAAACTTAATGTACAGTACTCCCTCCGTACTCGTAAAGGAAGTCGTTTACGACAATGTTTAAGTCAAATCTTGGGAATATAAATCATAAATAACTCTCAAGTTGTTGAGTTTGAAAATTTAAAAATTATATGAATAGATTTGTCTTGAAAAATATTTTCATAAAAGTATACATATATCACTTTTCAATAAATATTTTTATAGAAACAAGAAGTTAAAGTTGTGTTTTGGAGACCGTGTCGCTGTCCAAAACGACTTCCTTTACGAATACAGAGGGAGTATGCGATAACTACGTACCAAGGTTCCAAGCATATCTATGTATGCAAAGCAGAAAATGTTACCTGCGCAAGTGATGCAGCTTCCTCAGCATCATTTAACCGTACAAGAAGCTCACCAGCAGCTTGCACAGCTTCAGCAGTATCACTTAGCTGTTGCTGAAGGCCTTTATTTTCATCCATCCAAAACCGACGCTCCTTCTCTCGCTCAGCTCTTAAAATTGATACTTGCCTAGCAAGAGCATTAATGAACTTAGATTCAGCCCCTCGCACACCAGCTTTTGCAGCTTCCTTTTTCACATCTTCAATCCCATCATTGATGGTGCGACACATTGAGAGCAAGGATGCATGTTTTTCCTGTAATTCACAATACTGTTCTAAAATTCTAGCATGCCCCTGCATTGCCATTTCCAATGCCCCCTTTAATTCCTCTGAGCATTGCTTTTCTGATTCCACTTCAAGCTGCAAACGTTCAGATAGAGATTTACTCTTCTCAAGCTCAACTCTAAGCTCTTCTGTAAGAGTAATCCATCTACTCTCAGCAGCATCGACAATGCTGTGGCCGTCATCACCAGCTTCTTCCAAAGCCGAAATGGTTGGACGATCTGAGACAGTACTAATTGCCTGGACAAGTTCAACTGGAGGCCTACACAATGCCATTGATGATGACAGCATGTAATGCAACTGATTTTTCAGGTGTTGGATTTCCTCCAGTAAAACTTCCTTCTCATCCTTGAAGTTTCTGTACCTCTCCAATTCTTCTTGGATTCTTTCAAGCTCGATTTTAGCACTCAAAACTTCAGGATGGTTCTCATACTTCTGATGGAGAATCTGTTTTTGTTGATACAGAGACATGTTTAAGAATATAGCTTTGCTCAGTTCAAAAGAACCAAGTAGATATTTGGCAACATAGAAAATAAATGGAAAAGCAGAAGACCTTGTTTTCGTCTTGGAGAGAGAGATTCTCTGCATGCATAAGTTCTTCAGTTGGTAAAATCCCATCCACAAGTGTTTCAAGCCTTGCAATTTTTTCTTCTCGTATTTGTGCAATTGCAGCATTGCATTCACGTTCATGCTTATATTGTTGCACCTGCAAAAGGAAAACACTTCAGATCGACGAATAAAAGATCCTAAAATCTGATAGCATGGGCAAGGCACCAACCAAACGTTTTAGCTGTTGAATTTCAGCAGCTTGCTTTGCACACTGTTCATCACGTAACATCTCTCGTCTGATGGCTCCAGCAAGGACCTTCTCCACAGCCTATAGGAATAAAACAAACCCTTGCATAAGTTGTCATGCTGATATTGCAGATAAATGGTGCACACATCTGCATAGTAAGTTAGTAACCTACTTTAAAGACTTGTTCCTGTTGCTTTAGATCATTAGAGGGTATTGATCCATCAACTGTTACTAACTGTAGATTTATGCAATCAGAGATTTCTCTGTTTCCATCTGTAGTTGCTTCAGGCTGATTGCTAGGAATTAGAGCCATAGTGTTTTGTCTTGGTTCAGATTCTTCGGGGTCGGTTTGAATAGCCACATCAACTTTGCAAACTGGAACTGAAAGATGAGCGTCCATAAGTCTAGTGTTAAGACCTAATGATGATCTCCTCCAAGTAACACTATTCCGATGGCTTTCAATGACTTGAAGGCCCTTCTGAATGCTTGCTGCCAAGTTTGACTTGCATCTACTTGTTTCAACATCCCCGTGAGGAAATGAAGACTTGTTTTCTAAATTACAAGGCTTTTCAACATCATTGTCATCAATCTCCATCTCCTCATCACTATCATCTTTGATGGTGGGGAATGCAGTTGGACGACTCAAGCTCA